ATGAAAGCGTTAGCCTGCTGCTGTAATAAGGGAGGAAGTGAACTCAAGTTATCTTCAATACTGGCGTGATACTGCCAATGAACGCCCTTATATCCTGATATATATATCTACTAAGACAATAAAGGGTTAACCCGAAAACTACTTGTCTCCTTTCAGAATTATTTGCAATATTTTTTTTTTCTGGACTTTACTTCATATACACTCCTTTCTTGTAAAAGAAGAATTATTCTTTTTGTACCAATTTCTTCCTTATATACATATACATAAATTTTTCTTTTGACTCGAATCGACTTGTTCATATTTGATTTTTCTGCTTGGCCAGATTCTCGCTCCGACGAACTCGCAGTAGACCAGCTGAATCTTCCGGGATCTACGATTTGTTAATTGCTCTCCAGGATAAAAAAAAAAAAAATCACAACGTGACTGGAAAGTGCAATCGAATCGATATTGTGAACAGGAGACTTTGATTGAACCTGTAATAATAGACCAGGACATGACCAACGGTTGGTCTTGTAGAATACATCGATCCAGTGGGGTCTGGATAGGTGTTACACTATTCTAATAGATTTTTTTTTTTTGCACTTCTCACCTATAAAAAATCCCTTCCGATTTCTTGCTTCCCTGCCAACGGCAATCTTCAAAAATTTAAATGCAGTGTCAATCGCCATCTTCTGTCTTCCTGAACCCTCTTCCTTTATACTCACTTTTAATTGTCCTCTTTCACGCCCTGAAACACAAGCCTGCTTGTTTTGGGATGAAGTGATTCAAGGAAAAAACATTTCTGTAGTAAAATCATTTACAATTCAGTTCCGTAATTAAATCATGTCTGATCACAATTCTCCTGTCGTTTGTAAGCTTGAAATTCAGCAAGTAGTAATAACAGAAACGTAAAAAAATACAGCATTGCAAATGTCGATATTATGATGACATAAGTTATATAAGGTCCATGTAACTGGCATTAAGTATTCGCCACGTTTACATCTCGACTCCAGAAAAAGCGATCAGAACGTCTTTGTAAATTCTGTAAACATATTCAAAAGATACTTTGTTAGTGCTTTGTTTTTGACAATTGGTTCTTAGCAGTTAGGCTGCAGACAACACCCCCCTCCGAAAGAGAAACACATGTAGACGTGTTTGTTTTGCTTCTTTTTTTGTTTGTTTGTCTTTTGCTTTGTTTCTCTTTCATTTATTCTTCCTTTTTCCTCCTTTTCTTCCCTTTGCTTTCTTATCGTCTGTCAACGAGAAATGTCGCTTTTGTATAAACATAGAGATTGTCTTCCGTTAACGCCTGCTCAGAACTGTCACAAATGAATAGCCTCTCACGAACGCCTTTCCCACACTAGCACGCATTTTTAAAGGCTCTCGCACGTGAAAAAAAAACTAAAACAAAAAAACAAACAAACAAATAAACAAACAAAAAAAAAACACACACCCAAAATACAAAAAACAAAAAAAAAAAAAATGATAGACAGGGGCAAATTCAAAGATAGCTTAGGGTATTAAGCTGTAATCTTTCCTTGTGCATATGGTTCAACATCACCGTTCTACCGTTGCTATATACTGGGATAAACAACGATATATATATATATATATATATATATATATATATATATATATATATATATATATATATATATATATTTATATATATATATATATATATATATATATATATATAGCATTGTTTATATATATATATATATATATATATATATATATATATAGCGTTGTTTATATAGCGTTGTTTATAAACAACGATATATATATATATATATATATATACACAGTGTAACCCGGATATAAGAGAAACCCGGATATGAGAGAGATTTTCTCTGGTCCCAAATTAGAGCCCATACTTACCTAAACAAAATAGACCAAACCCGGATATAAGAGAAACCTGGATATAAGAGAAACCCAGATATAAGAGTTTTCTTCTCCGGTCCCGACAACTCTCTTATATCCGGGTTACACTGTCTATATACGTATATCATTGTTTATATATATATATATAGCGTTGTTTATCACACACACACACACACACACACACACATATATATATATATATATATATATATATATATATATATGTGTGTGTGTGTGTGTAAAGAGAAATGACAGACATATTAAGATTTTGAGTAATTTTGAGAGGACCGCTCTTCTAAGATAATAAAAAAGAGCATTATTTTTCGATTCCGACAAGTGTTGAGGGTTATGCCATTTAGAATCTATTGAAATTGTAACCCCTCCCTCCTCACAAAAAAAAAAAAACAACTCTTTCCTTTTTTACGGGCGGATGAGTTAATTTAACTATTTACACTATTTACATTGTTCGGACTGTTGTCCTCATCTTTGTTGTCATATTAACGACGTTTCGGCCGCTGTACACTCCGGTCATCTTCAGGTGATTGGAATTTCGAAGCGAACCCTTTATTCCACCGACCGGGGTAGATTGTTTTAGTTCCACGTGCCATGCCTTTTCTGCATACTTCCGTTTCAGTTAATTCAAAGCTTCAAGTTATTGTTCACCTCTACTGTTGCCTGGTATTGAACTCATTGTGTCAAGTAACAGTATTACTTCATCCAACGCCTTTCTCCACTTGAGGACGTGGAACTAGAACAATCTACCCAGGTGGACGCAATAAAGGGTTCGGTTCGAAATGCCAGCCACCTGGATGTTAAACACTATTCTTATAAGTAAACAGTAAGTACAAATTTTGAAACGTCCGAAGAAGGCCGGAGCGTACAGCGACCGAAACGTCGTGAATATGGAAACAAAGATGAGGACAACAGTCCGAACAATGTAAATAGTGTAAATAGTTATAATACCTCATATCAGGAATATAGACAGATCCGGAAGAAGGCCGCGGCATACCACGGCCGAAACGCCATGAATAGGGAAACAAAGTCGAGGACAACTTTCCGAACAATGTAAATAGTGTAAATAGTCACAATACTTCAGAAATATCGACAGAATTCATTTAAATTAATTTTTTTCTATTCCGCCTTGAGTTTCTTCTTGGTGGTGATGAAGCTTTACTGGGAATCGTCATAATCTTCCACTAAAGAGAGTTTAGCATTTTTGTTGTCAATTCTCACGAAAAGGAAATATAAACCGAGATAATCGCAAATTATTTTAGATGAATTTATGTAGGGGGAACAGATGTAAGAAATACCTGGTTGCGTGAAGTAATCCACAAGTGACTTGACCCAAAGTGTTGTTAGTTCAATACCTGGCCACAGCAGAGGCGAACAAAAACGAAAGGGAATTAAAGCTAAAGTATGGAAGAAGGAATTATTCCGAGCCGCTGTCCACTAGGAAAATATAACAGGGGTAGGGGATATATATTTCACTAGCAGTAGAGCCCAGCGTTGCCCAGGGGATGTAACAGTAAGAGATAGATCAAGTATCGACCATCATAAAGACTGAAAAATAAAATTCACAAAGATTATTATTTAAAGTTGACGGACACACATGTCTTAATTAGTTCTTTTGTTTTTTTTTGACGAATTGGTCAAACCCAAACTAAAAAAAAACATTGTTTTCAATCGTTATGAGTCTATCGAGGAAATAGAATTTTATTATAGACAATTGTCTTGTAAATGGAATTTTGAAAGCATTCTGAATGTAAAAATAAAGAAAAACGTGTGCAAGACAATAAGAAACACTACCTGCCAAAAAAAGTGAAGTTTTGTTGAGATCGGTCGAAAAATGTAGGAAATCCGATCTCATATATAAAAAAACACACAGACAACCTGGGTTTTATAATTAAGTATAACACGATATGAGTTGTCCCC